AATTAAGGACATTTTACGCTAATTTATGTAAATTAAGGACATTTTATGCTAATTTATGCAAATTAAGGACATTTTATGTAAATTTATGCAAATTAAGGACATTTTTATGCTAATTTATGCAAATTTTTAAATTTATTGTAAATTATGTTTGTTAACGTCCCTCTCGAGAATTTTTCACTCATATGGAGACGCCACCATCTGCCAGTGGAGAGCTGCAAATTTTGTTCTATACTCGGCATTCAGGTCCATTGAGCAGTGAGGAATCTTTTTCATGCCAGCAACTACTGCGACACGGGACCTCGGTTTATCTGATCTCTCAGTTTATGTCTCTCGGTTTATGTCTCTCAGTAAATTCGATACACCAGAGCATACTCTACGTATGAACAATTTCTAAAACGAGATAAGTTATTGACAAACAAGTTGATAAAACAAGAATATCAGCAGTCTCGTTTAAAGTCATCATTTCGTAAGTTCTATGGCCAATACAATGACCTTGTCAGCAAATATAATCTATCATTTAATCAAATGCTGACTGACTTTTTCACACTAATTGTTAGGCCATTATCTACACACTAAATTGTCGACGGATTTTCTCGTTATTTCCCGATCCTTACAAGGAGCACAAGGCGGGTGTGACCAGTCAGCAGGGGATGCTCACTCCTCCATGGCACCTGATCCCACCACCTCTGATGTCTTAGAGGTCCTGTGTTTGCTCTACTCTTATTCTGTAATGTTTAATGGACTTTTGAGCTCGAATACTGTTCCTTATCTCCACATATTTCATTAAATATGATTTAAGAGATGAATTTTAAATCAAATTAACCAATAAATCTCATGTTGCATATAAATCCAATAATTAAAATCAAATAAATATATTATATTGTATATGCCTAAACCCAATGATAGCCCATGAAAGCCAGTATGGCTTATTTCCAATGGGGTCCTTTTACGCATATCAAAATTACTGGCATATGACATATATGATATATTTTATATAAACAATAAAAAATATACTTACTATAAACAAGATGGCTTAAAATTCCAATCATACTTAGTATGCAAAAACATCTCAAACACAAGAAAAAAGAACAGTTGGGTTTTAATCTAATAGCATAAAAATTCCTAGTTTTCTATAAAATGTTTTGACGTTTTTTTTTTATTTTGATTTATTGGTAATTGTTTTAATCTGATCAGATGGAGAATTCCAATCTTTAATTCCATTGTAAAAAAAGGTTCACTTTCCATTTTTTGAACCCTTGGCACAAAAAAAAATAAATTTACTCGACCATGTACAAGTTGTAGAAACATTTTGCTTAAAATTCTGTACAAATAATTTGGACCCTTATTATGAAATATATTGTAGACATGGTTGAGGCGTAACTGACAAATTCTACTTCTGATATTCAAAAAACCAAATTTTTCAAATTCATTACAGTTTTGCCAAAGGTCAAGATGTCCAAAAATTTATTTTTACAATAGCTCCAAAACTATGTGGTTTATAAAGTTAAAAATTTGTTTTGCTTTTTGTTTTGTTTTTCTTCCTCTTTTTTCTAAAAATACTCTAAATACAGAATGTATAGTTTTTGTTGAGCACTATAACATAGAAAGACCTGTATTGGAGGGTGACCTGGCCCTCGATACTAGTTACAGTGGGAGTGATGGACTCATTTTCTTTTTCTTTTTTATTAGAAATTCCCACTGTAACAAGGGTCATGTTTGTATATGTGTAATTTATATTACTATTGTTATTAAAAAAATAAACAATCAATTATATATGCATAAAATTTCCCTTTTTCCAAATTTTTCATCACTTTCTGAGTTTTATGTATCTATTACTGTGTATTGTGCATATATACATATATGGTTTATACAGATGTTGGTGGCATTATTAATAATTTATTCCTTATTGAATATAGTAGTATAAACAGTTGAATTGATGTGATGGAAGAGTAATACGCCCTGTGTACTAAACAATGTTAATTAACGTATCATTTTAGGTTGATATTATTTATCAGTGGATTAAGTGCGTTGTCATATTATCTTGGAACTGTGTATATTATATAATATTATACAAATGAATATATATTTGATGAAAAAAGACAGAGAGAGAAAAAAAAAAGATATATTGCACTTCGCAATTAAATACAAATTAACACAAAAGCTCTTATGTACACAATAAATTCATTTATCTGTTTAAAAAACAGTTTCTACAATTTTCTCACCAGATAGTAAGTTGTCAAAAAAAGTCCTAAATATTTAACACAATTTTTACATTCAATTTCGATTCCATCACATATACTACTGAAAAGGAGTTCATATCATATGACTTCAATTTTCTAGGAGGTCCAAATGAAATACTCTCTGTCTTACCTAAATGTAGAGAAAGTTTATTATCAACTTACCAGTGCTTACATTCCTCTAACATCTCAGATAGTTTTTTACTAATAACTTCTGGATTGGTGTGTGAAAAAAGAATAGCTGTGTCATCTGCATGCAAAAGGACTTTGCATTCAGAATCGATACTGACACTGAGATCATTTACATACAATAAGAATAAAAGAGGCCCAAGGATACTGCCTTGAGGTACCTCAAACGAAATATAAGTGACATCTGAAAAAGTGATGCTAACATTAACACCATTTTATATGCAAGTGATTAGTGATAAAGGTAAATTGCTTCATGAATAAAGGGCGTAAATAATAGAAAGTTTAAATCGTCCTGTCCTATTACTTTACGGTTGTATGTTCGGCAATGACAAATGCTTTTCCGTAGATTTCCGTAGTTAAAAAATCCTGCTTTCTCTAGTTGAAACCTACTGTCAGTCACTGTCAATCTCATGACTGTGGTTTCTTTTATTTCCGGTAGGCGACACTTGCACTTGTGTGTGGAGGGTGACACTCTACCATCAGCTCATACAGGCACATACATTCACTGAGTCTGAAAGAGTAAACAACAGGGGCCCTACTAGGTGAGACTTCATTTGTCAAACCGGCGTACGCCGAATGCGCCGCTTGACCTTTGATAACCTGGCTTGTTACTTCATTTGACCGGGGAAGGTTCGCCGGTGTACGCCGATCTCGCCGGTTTAAAATGACCGGCGACAGATTCGCCGGTGTTAGAAATATGGCGGGAAGATAAAAAACCTATAAATGCACACATTTTTACCAACTCGGCATGTTCTTAAATTGTTTGCATTTCTTGAACAAATCGCCATTCATATATTTAAAATCTGTTGTTATTTTCGAAATTAAAATTTTTCATGAGGTCCTGCCCCCTTTTTTCCCAAACATAACTTTTTACTTTTTAAAAATATTCATTGAAAGACCGGTTGTTTCCTCCATTTTTTTTTTTTTGGTTGTTGTTGTTTAAGTGATTTAGTCATAGTAGTGTATGAATAAAATTTGGTACTGAAAAAAGTCCCCCCCCCCCCCCAAATAAATAAATAAAAAAGGATTTTTGGGGTTTGACAATTTTCCTCTCTTTTTTGTCTTGTCAAGTATTTTTTATTTTTTAGGTAAGTTGATTTTTTTTTCTTGCTACCGCCACCTTTCAAAAACATCGATCTCTGGATCTTCGATAGGGATACACATGGGGGAATTAATTACATCGGAATCGAAATACGAAGAATTCCAAACAACAACAGAAGAGCAAGTTGATTTCTACTGATTTGTCGTTTGAGTACAATCACAATAAAATGATAAAACCAGGAAGACCATTTTTTCGAACAAAAAGGCGAGTTATTATTGCTTTCCTTACTTGGAATGTTATTGGAGCATTTTATGTGTGGTTGCCACATGTTTGGAAGATCCAAGCGCAGGATGCCCAAAAGCAAGACAGCACACCAGCAAGTCGGTGAACGTGTGACCCAGTTACAGTGATTCGGGGCGGTGCTTATTCGTGTTTTTGAGTCATGAATACTCGTGTTTGGTAAACTGTGTGATAGAGCATCATCTGATTAATCCACCGACCCTATGCTTGAAAAAACTAGTCGATGGATGAATGACCTTGACGACACGAATGTTGCCATTATATAACTGCCCTTCGTAGCAGATTCGGTGATGGAACATCTACATTTGACATTAACTTGGATCCATTTCACCACATGGATTCGTATAATTTCATTATAGTTTTAAAATGTGTCCTCTTACCGTCCTTGTGGTTCAATTTTAAAGGAAATGTTTGAGGACAAAAGTGAAACGAAGACAGTGTGCCGTGTAAGATAGAGGGAGGAACATTTAAACTGCATTTCCTTCTCTTTTAGAATTGTTCAATGAATTGCACTACATAAACTTCAAACTGTATATAAGGATTTGCCAGAGGATGTGATAAACATTGCCATGTTTTTTGCGAATTCAATTTTATACTGTGCTATAGTATTAATGCAAGACTGTTATTTTCTCAAAAAGAAAAGATTCATTTAATCTGTATTCCGAATTCAATATTAGTTTCATAGGGTTGAAATCAATTTTTTTTTATAAGAAATCATTCAAGTGAGGCTTAAAAATTCTTCACATCTAATCCATGAGGAAATGCTTTAATTAATGCTTACTTGTATGAGCAAACTAAGCTTGACTTGCCAAGTTTCCATTTCTACCAGAATTTTCATCTTTAAAATCATTTAAGTTAAGAATGTATCTATAGGTTTGCTAAATATTTAATTTGTGATTTATATTTCTAGCATATATAAATGTACTGCAATATTTTAATCAGCTCTAGATCAATGTAAATATGTGTGTTTAGGCCAGTTTATTACAGCTGAACGTTGGTATCACGAATACCATGGATATGTCGAAGTGATTTGGAAGTCCCAACCCCTTTTTCTTTAAGTATTTTACCCTGGATATCTTGAATCTCCAGATATTAAACTCGGATGTTTTTTCTCGGCTCATTGGGTTCGAGATAACGAGGTTTGACTGTATTTAACAAATACCGGGGGTAGTACCTCTTAAGTGACCATTTAACTTGGATTGTTTAATGCCTTTCAAATAAAAAAGCCACAGTTGACTGACTGCCGAGATTTTTATTAACTTTCTTTTTTACACCAGTAGTACAGCATTGATGCATCCATCATTTTCTGGATTGTTTGTCACCTGAGCATATTTACCTGAAATAAAGTTAACAGATAAATAAAAGCTATCATACTAAAATCCAGACATTACATGTATAAATTTTCTTTTGGGGGCATTTCAGACAAAGATGTAAGAAAATTATAGAAAAATATGCTTCATGTAATGACAATAAAAAAAAGAATCATGAATGCCATCTGTATACATTAGTGTTAACAAGGAGTGATTGAAGAGGGGCATGTCCCTTTTGTCAACCAAGTTGGCTTTAGATAGTGTACATTTTTTAAAGAGGAATTCAGAGCACAAAGCACTTCAAGACCTTCTTTTTTAACACATCAATGAATGGTTGAAATATGAACATCTTCTGGTACAAAATAATTCCAAACTAGAACTGTCCAAAAGGGACAAATACCCCCCGCTGGGTTTTTCAGAGAAGGTACCAAATCACTAATGTTTTCTAGATGTGAGAGGTGTTCACAATTTGCTTAAACATTTAGAGTGAAAATTTAATTACTCATTATATTTTTTTAATGAATGAAACTAAGGTGCAGCCTAATAAAACATCAATACTAGTCACATGCTAGTAATTACAGTGTTTTTTATTACATTGAAAAAAATAGTTTGCAACTATATGTCATCTTTGTGAGACATGACACTCTGCAAATTGATTGTTGAAAAAAAAATCATAATTATACAAAATCAAATTGATCTTAATACCTTTATATCAAACTCATTTTAAAAATAAAAGGCTGTTTCCAGTAACTATGTGTTTTGACAGACATAAATAACAATCAAGAGACTTAGACAACAGAGATCTTTATTTCTTTCTGCCCAATTCCCAGGAGATATAGATAAGACCTGCTTGATCAGAGATGCCCTAACAGCTTCCCACACCGAACTCATTAATTAATCTTTAACTGGATGCATGTCCACTCATTACTCCCAGGGACAAATCGATTTACACTATCTGCTGTGTAATGTAAAAACTGTTTTTAATACTTTGCGATTTTTTTTTTACTTCTAATGAGTAGTTTTAAGCTGTAGTTCACATTTTTGTACAGATGTTCTAGATTCTATGTCTCAAACGTTAGACATGAACCCGAAATGACTAAATCAATAAAAATGAAAAAAAAACACCTGTAAAATGCAGAAAAATTATCAAATAATGTTGAAAATACCAGGTGAACATCTTCATATGGTAAATAATAAGTGTACAAATTTTCATACAAATCTATGCAATAGTCTCTGGGAACAGATCCGGACAAAACCACATAATAAAAATGAAAAAACACCTGTAAAATGCAAAAAAATTATCCAATCATGATGAAAATACCAGGTGCACACCTTCATATGGCAAAGAATAAGTGTACAAATTTTCAGAAAAATCCTTGCAACAGTTTCCAAGAAATGGTCCGGACAAAATCTTGTCTACAGACTGACAGACAGACAGACAAGCTGATTCCAATATACCCCCCTAAACTTCGTTTGCGGGGGGGGGGGGGGGGGGGGTAATTATATGCAAGTTATTGAACAGATATGAATAGTTTTGTAACAGCTGAAGCAATAATTTCACATCTCGCCCCCCTCTAAAACAATAAAGTTTCTCCATAAATACTGGCACAAAGACAAAAATATTAATGCAGACAGTTTATATCATGTAGGAAAATTATTTGACACACATCAGGAATTCATGATTAAACACAAATCTGCAGCATAAAAAGCATCACTTACCCCAAATTACTTTACCAGCTTGCGTAACAAGACCTAATTCACTAATATTAACCTGAAATAAGACAATAATTCATGTTAATTTAAAAGTTCTGGAACCAGTTATTCCAAAACTTTCAAACTAATTAGTCAGTATTCTCCTGTCTTTATAGTTTGATTAACATGATAAAAGAGTCCCCAATAAATGCTATCGAAGATTTTCAGAACCACAAAAAAGACATATTTCATATTCCTATATTTACCTCTATGATGGTTCCTTTTGTAATGACTCCTAAGCTTGTATACATGGTTGACGTGGGATTTTTCTTCACACCGATGATGGGAAGACAAAATGTGGCTTTAAGTTCTGGATGTGTTACATGTGCTTTGTTAAATCTCAGACCCTAGAAAAAATGTTTAGGCATTGTTAAATCTCAGTTACTAGTAAAAATGCTTAGATATAACTAACATGCATATGTACCCTGTATACATATATCAGTAAGCTTTTTGAATTTTGCATCTTAAGTGAAAGTTATTGAGATTAAACCTGAAAGTGACAGATGTGTTGAAAAACTTGGTCAATCTTAGACATTTTTGTAATTCCTGATAATGTTGACCATTCATCTCTTCCCATTGGCCATTTTTGTGAAATAATTCATATGCTCCACTTACCATTGGTCGAATAAATCTCTCAAATTTGGGTGGTTTTCTTGTAAACCCCTCTCCCACATAACACACTTTGGTGACCATTCTTTTCCATCCTTTACCTGTAAATCATGAACAGTCAAGAATAGAATGCTCTGACACACAAAAAATTACTCAATGTACAACTGATAATTTGTAACAGAATTACTCACGTTTTGTTTTGCCACTCTTGATGACTTTGAACACCTCTGCCTCACTCATGCCTCTTACTTTTGGCAAAGGAACCTCCCATTTACCCTATAAAGAAGACAACATAAAAAGCATATAATGCACATTGCAATGAAAAATATTACTTATAATCATTTTTTCAACAACAACAAAAAAAATTCAATAAAAAAACTAAGTTAGTCATTCAAAATTTGAATAAAAATGTGATATACCCAGTGTATAAATTAAACCACTTTGATAAATTAGTCATTCATTTTCTCAAATGGATTCACTATTCCCCCTTTTAATCTTTTCAAGTCTATTCAATCATAATGTTAGAAAGTACTAAAACTCTACTATGGTCCTCTCTGTGTAACAGGTATTAAACTTGCAGCATTTTCCTTTAGTTCCTATTTAATCATGTAAGTCAAGACTTTAAAATAGCTATACTTTGGGCTAAGAACTTTGTCTAACTGTTTTTTATATACTTCTTTCTATCTCCCTGTTTACAGACCAATTGATATTGTTCTGTATATTTAATGCTTACAGCTTTCTCCTTTCTTTTCTGTTTAATCATGTTGGACAAGACTTTAGCTCTACTTTGGCCCTCTCTGTCAAGTAAGTATGCTGGAACTGCTCCCTCTGGTACTTCATCATTATTCTTCTGTTTTGTTTTTCTTTCTTCATGCATCTTTATTCTAATATTTAATGTATAACACAGAAGTTAGTCTTTTTAGTCAATATCCTTGCCAGTACTCATTCTTTCACACAAGTTTTAAGTTCAACTTCCATTATAAAAGAAAATGCAGAACACAATCTTTAATTACTGGGTTGAAGTTCATATGTACTGATATAAATTTTAAATGATTTAAAGCAACTTTGTGTTACAATACATAAAATTTACATAACTTACGTTTTCTTCATTTGAACCTTCTCTGCATGTCGTTTCTTATTGTACAATTTGGCCCTAGAGCAAACAAATTTGGAAGGATGAATTGTAACTGTAAGTCTTTTTCAGTATAAATATCTTTAACAATAAATAAATGTGAATTTCATCTACTCATTTCCTAAATTATGCTCATTTTTATCATATACCTTATTCCCCTAAGCTTTTTGGCTTTCTCTGCCATCTCATGGGCCTTTCTTCCCTCTTTCTTTCTCCTGTAAGAAATTGTCAAATGTTTCAGATTTAACTGCTAGTTTTTCAAGCTTTCCTTCTTTCTTATTCTCTTTTCTTTTCTCAGTTTTTCAACATCATCTCCAAATAAAGCATGCACACTTTCAAGATTCAGTCCATACAAAAATGTAACATACTTTTTCTCATGATAATCAAGTCTGTATCCATGGCGCTTCCTATGAAGCTCAATGTGTTCATTCTGTGGCTGTAAAAAGAATTAAGAAGGGGAATGATTGTACATGTCCAATTCATTATTTAGTTGCCTCTTTTTATATTCCTGCACATCCCTGTAAAATTTTCCCCACTGAACATTTATACGGATTAATTCATAGGCTTAAATAACAAATTCACAACTCCAACATTAATACATTATTGTCTGAAATATGTGACTGTCACAGCAAGTACTTTTTATTGGTTGTGTATTTTGACTTAATATCAATTTTATTATATATTATATGGGTGTATGATTATTAAAGTTTTATATAGGTGTATGATTTATTGATAATTAAAATCAAAGTAGGCAAATTAAAGCTATCAATGAACAGAAGTTTACAAAATCTTGGGAAATGGCCATCCACAGGTAACCTGCTGGTATTTCTGATTTCTTCATTTGTTATTGTATTAAATAAAGAAACTTAAGAATATATAACATTCTGAATAGTTTGTTGATATGAATGAAAAAATTCTATTTTGTTACATCATATATAATTTTAAAGATTTATGTGATATAAACAGTGCAAGATTTGAAAAGGTAAATAATAGGGCATACAAGAAATGCAAGATTTTAAACAACTGAAAATATCTGTTATTAATGCCTCTGTTTTAATACTTTTAAAAAAGCCTAAAAATAAAGAAAACTATCATGGACAACTATCACAAAACAAATGGAATAAAAATAAAATTACAAACAGGTCCAGTACATTTAGCTACGTAGCTAAAATTACCTACTGTAGCTTTATTTACCTACCTCAGGTAGCTTTATTTAGCTATTTCAAGGCAACTTTTCACAATTTTGCTTTTTATTTTAAAAAGACAAAAAGTCGCAAGAAAATGTTTACTAATATTTATTCTAGGTATCATTTAAAAAGCAATCTAAAGCAGAGATAGTTTTAACATTGCTGCGTTTGATCACTTTTAAGGAAAATATGTATTCCCATTTTTTGAGTAACTGTACACACCTTGTGCGCGATGAGGCGGGGATAAGTATGATTATTTCACATTGTGCTCATTTTAACCAAAACTGGTTTTTTCTTTGTTATTACACTCAAGAAGTAACTGTTAGGTCACAAATTAACTGTTGTATATAGCCCCAAAACTTTTAGAACTTTGATTGCAATTGCGCAAAAAAAGACACATCTCCAAGAGTGATTTTTTCATGCATTGTTTTCAGATGAGTTCAAAAGTTCAAAAGTTGAAAATTATCACTGCATAAAAGTGCAATTTTCTGCACTTTCTGGGAAAAATTCTTATTTAAGAAATAAGTTTGATTTCGTTGCTAAATAAAGCTACTTCATGTAGGTAAATAAAGCTATGTAGGTAATTCAAGCTACGTAGCTAAATCTAGTGATTGTACCAGACCTGACAAATGCCAGTTAACTAAACATTTTAATCAGGAATATAACTATTTAATTTATTCATATAATTTTTTTTTATGTAGAAATTACTATTTTTAAAATAATTACAGTACTTTATTTCAAATTGAAAATTCTACATGTATTGTAGATTTCTTTAATTTCTACCATTCCCTCACCTGAAATAACCACAAGATCTGTCTTTAATACTATTGTGATTCAGATTAGATAATGATAAACATATTAATATCTAATTCCATTATTTGAAAATCATCATTGTAATATTCCACACAGTTCGACACGATATCGAGGGACATGTTTATAACATGTATGCGATATGCATCAAACATGGTCTTGAAAAAGAGTAAATAGTAAAATACATAATTTATCGTTCAAACAAGTACATTATTACCAGTATATTTTTATTTCTTATGAAATACTTTTGTTTCTATGGAATAATTGTGGGCTTTTGAAACAATACATACCATCTTTCAAGAGATTTGTGAAATCGTGTGACAAATGTTTTTCCTCGGCAGTCTTAAAAGGAAGTATTTGAGGGTACGTTAATGCTAAAATTTATAAAGAGGATCTGTGGAATCCGAAATGACACTGCTTTCCTTCGTTTTTCGTTATCAAAAAAATGGTATGGGTGTGGGTTAATCACTTAAAAATTAATCAATAAATAAGGTCGACATTAATTTATATCAAAATTATTTCAGGATTAAAAAATTATAGCTATCCAGGCATTTACCCCCCCCCCCCCCAAAAAAAACCAGCTTTATATAGTATTTTAGATCTGTTACAAAAATATGTTGTGTAAATGGCTTTTGAAATTGCTGAAAGATATCACAGATCACTTCCAACATTTAATTTCATATAAAAAGTATATTGGTATGTTAAAAGCCAGTTTTAAGGAAATATTTACATGTATCTAAATACAGTACATCTTTATCCCCTTTATAAATAGAGAGCTCATTAAGTATTTTTACAAGAATGTTTCAAAAGACTTCATGCAACCTTGGATCATCTTAAGATGGATGAAATAAAAATTATTTCACAAATGGATTTCAATATCAAGCCTCATTTTGGAGATATAATGACAGATAAATGATATATTTCAATAGTTCTCATCCTTGGCTGACATATGATCCAAAAGAACAGGCAAAAACTTAGTAAGTTCTAAATTTCATGAGTCATATTTTTTTCTAAGGCTGTAATCTAAACTTGCTTTGTGAAGGAGGGACCATAAAGATTACTATTACCAATAATCCTTGATCCCCCCATAAAGTTCAGGCCTCTTCCCACAATTCAATCCAGTCTGATTGACATTTCCTCTCCTCAACACTGCAGTAGTAGCTGATAGAATCTCTTTGATCAACCACTTTTGAGTTATTAAATTATAATATAAGTAAAAGAAAGTTCTTGTTTGACAAATTTATTTACACATCATTCAATGTTATCTACATATAAATACTTTCTTCACACACTAAGTTGTTACTGCTGCTGCAGGCTTTTGTACCGGTTCCCCTCTATTCAGCTGTAAAAGAAATATAAAAATAGTTTCTACATCTTTTAAATTAAAACATTCTTTTAGTCTATATATTTTCTATCTTTGATTTTTTTAACTAATATTCACTAAGCCTGGGATTAGAAAAGATTCCTATACTTTCCAGAAAGAGCAGAGGGTCAGTGGATCTAAATTCTAATACCCTCTGAAAATATCACAGAAAATCTTCAAAACTTCTCAAAGGTCCAAGAGAAGTTGTCCCATGAACAACTTGTATGAAATACACAATATGAATTTTGATCAATACTATGGTCATTACAAAATTTTATACTATTTGTAAAAAAACCAAAGTCAGACACATGTCAAACTGTTTACAAGAGAGACCAAAACACATGGAGGCAACAGCAAATATACATTTTCTTCAGCAAAGAAAGATATTACTTATCTAATCAAAAAATAATAATTTTTCATTATTTCTTTATATGTCTTATCCAAATGATATATTCCAATGCATTTGCCCCAAGATTAACCGGAGAGCTGCAGTTACCTTGTGCACTAATTAACCAGTTAAGGTTCATTTGATGAGAGAAACAACTTGCACTAGGATAAATGACTATCATTCTTGTATAAATTATCAAGTTAAAAGCCATGTTTGTCAAATTTTGCACTGCAAAGCATGCTGAAATTCCATGTGTGCTTTTTTAAGTATGAATTAAACTTATTGTGGAGAATCATTAGCATGTAAGCAAAATTATTTATATGAGTGAACGGAGGGATGATCAACCTGAACAAAATCTAATTTTACATACTGGCAAATACTGTAAATCATATTTTATTTTCAAGAACTTTATTTTTGCGTAATAACGCGAGACAGTATGCTTGTGAAAATTTCATTCTTGTGTATTATTGTATTCCTAAAGATTATATAGAGCAATAACCAATAAAATAACTCGTGAAAATTTGGTCTTGCTAATAAAGAGTAAATGACTATCTTGCGAAAATAAGGTGTCACGAAAATTTAATGATCTACAGTACATCATAATAAAATTTGGGAAGGTCACAATACATACATCTACAAAGTACTTCATTAGAACTATAAACAAACTACGAATAACAGTTATTTTTCTTCAAATCAAATTCACATTCATTTCATGGTTGGGTGTTTATGCAATCAAGTTCTTTATATTAATTGATAAAAAATGTTTATACATGTTTATACATGTAATTATATTTTCTGTAATATTATTTATTAACAATATTCTTACCCATCGCCTAGAATTACAGTGGGATGCACTACTTTCTTTTCTCCAGTGGAGCTCTTCTCTAAGAACAAGTAATAAAACTGCAGCAGTTCCTATAGCTCCAACCTGGCCATAGATGTTCCGGCCTCTAAAGAAGTTCAATCCAAAACGTGTATACTTCTTTATCTGAGCTGTCATTGACATCTGAAAAATATTATAATTTTAATTTCAAATTTGAACACTTTCTATTTCAATACAATGGAAATATGCAAGCTTTTCTCAAAACTAGATTTTAATTTTAAAATATTAAAATTTGATATCAATGTCAAAGTAAAGGACATGGTTACTATTTGAAAATTATTAAAATGTTCTCACTTAAGGGTGCATGATGTTATACTTAAGGGGATCCTCTAAACTTTCAAAACAACAACCCTTTGATTGCCACACTAATTCAACTAAATAACTGAAGACGTTTTTTTTTGTGACTAGCAAGAACCTTAAGAGCTTGAAATTATCTATAAAGCATGATGTTAAAGTATAATTCTAAAATCTTCCTGATGCTGACCTTGGTTATCTAAAATGTTATCTTTACTGCAGTCCCCCAATATCCCGTCGACAGTGCTAGGACTGGACTTTCTCTCACTTTTTACCCCGTCTTCTGTAGCTTTTATGATCCCTCTATAACCATTGTTAGATAAATAAATATAATATTATTCCTTTGCAATTTTTTTTTTTATAAATACAATGTAAAAGAAAATCTCTGTTATATGTGTATTTAACTGAAATTGATAAGCAAAAATAGCAATAACAAAATAAAACACATTTTTAAACAATATAACACATTAAAATCAAATTAACACGATTCTTGTTTTATTGTTTGTGGACTCGAAACAATTTACCCACAAAAAATGAACTAAACGAGGAAATTCGGTATGACCTGAGAAGTGGCCAAGCTTATTTCAGTTGTAGAAAAAGAAGATCCTAAGACAAATGGACTCTTCAGAAACAAAGTATATATACATCGAATATACAAGCAAAAGTGATAGAAAATAACAACGATTGATAAGAGATAAATAATAAGAAAAACTTCACCTGTTTTAGTAAGTCGTACCTAAAACTAGTTATTCATTCAGGTTTTGTATTTTATAACAATTTATTTACTTCCGATTTGTAAACAAATCTCCATGCCTATGGTAATGATGATGTTATTTGCCTAAGATTTTCTATGAAGAGGGGAAATGACTATAATTATATGGATATTTAGGTTTCATATTCATTTTATAAATGTATTTCGTACAAGTCAATACTGCACAGGTTGTTATTTAGATAAAAACGGTATGTCACTATCCCCACCATGCATGTTTTGATAAAAATTATTACCTCTCGTCAGCTCTAGGTCATTTACCATAGGCCTACTGCATATTTGTCACTTTTACCTCCAAAAGATAGAGTACTGTATCTACAAGTAACTAATCAGTAAATGGCAGTTGAAATACATTGTATTGAAATGAAGTTGATTATTTCAATTGATCTTCAAAAGTTCATCTTTTTACAATAGAAATGAGACACATCTTCATATATTAAGGAAGAAAATTTCATTTAATTTCAGTTCAGGGCATCTAGTTGAGGCATGGAGAAAATGTATAGACAAAGTTCAAAAGCTCAGCAGAAGGAAATGGAGATTTTAAAAACTATGACTGTCCCACCAGTCAGGTCACTGCTAGAGAGTGTCCCCCCAAGTCAAGCAGTACTCACGGCCTACATAGATGACCTTGATAATCATCTGGAAGAAAATAGCCGCAAGTAAATGACGGCACCTATAAATATAAGATCTTCTGTGATTTGTGATTAGATATAATTTTTATCCAAAGAGTTGTGT